GTGCTTTTTGTTCATTGACAAATTAAATATAATAAAGGATATTGGCAAGATGGCCAAAGTGGAAAAAAAAATAAAAAAAAATTAATTAATTTGGGAGTTGTAAACACAGATTGTAAAATATAAAGAAAATATGCAGATACTGTAATTAAATATAGTTAAGTTGAAAATATAAAAGTTAAATTAATAAAGGTGTAGCAACTATATATGCCACAAAAATAGGTTTTCAAATAACCTCTATTTTGTTTCCATTAAAGCAATTTAGAATTTTTTATATGCAAGAGCAAATCTAATTTAAATAATTATATTCTTTATAATTTTGTCTCTTCAAAAAAAGTGTCAAAAATTTCATCTTTTAAGTAAAATAGGTCAAAAACAATTTCGTTTTCAAATTTTAATTTCGTATCCCAAAACCTAAAATAATTTTGTTATCATGTATAGAAGTGACTTAGTGAAGTTAGTAAGTTATTGCACTCCCAAGTGGCAGAACAAGAGTTTAAATCCTACTGTTGATGAAATTTAAATTTTATAGAATGTGTTACAGCAGACTGTGTATAATCTGATAGATCATCATATCTGTAGCTTTGGTTGTACCAGCTTGTACTAGGAGGCTATAGAATATTTAATGTGACATATGAGTTATACGAAATCTGAGTAAAGCAGTTGAATAAATCTATTGGCTGGGGTATACAGAAGCCTGTTTGAAAAGTCTCTAATAGAGAGATAGTGCAGACTTTCAATAATGCTACATAAAGGATTATTAACTAAAGAATTAGGAATTAGACAAGAGCAGAGTGTTTGGCAAGGCACTATATTAACCAGACTGCTAGTGTATTTTAAGGAAGAGGTTTACCCTTCTGGACTATTTGAATTGGAAGTTTAAGAAACTGAAGAAATAACAGATAGTCTGTAAAGTGGGTGTTGGAGCTTGGGTAAGCTCTACAAATACAAAAATATATAATAGTAGCAGCTTTAGCTTACAAATACTTGTTTTCAGACTTGGTGTAAGTTACTAAAAGTTTAGATTAACCAGATTGTGGGTATAAAACGCTCTAACAATAAAGCCTCAAGAATAAATTAGTCCTAAAGCTATAGTAAGCATCCGAAACTCTTGATTAACAAATATAATGGAAATGTTCTGGTAATACAAGGGAGATGTATATGTTATAGAAGGTTTAAATAGATAATCTACTAGTTGGATTACAGATATAATAGCTAGTGTAGAACCTATAGTATATAGTTATCTATATGCAGACTACTTAAATAGACAACCAAAAGTTACACATGTAGCTAGTTATACTCTCTAATGTAATTGAGATTCTGTTGTGAGCTCCTACCCAGTATACTTGAATAAAAATCTCTACACCAAAGAGACTAGTTAATAAAAAAAAAAAAGCTAAATTAGTAAAATAAATAAAAATACAAAAAACTTTAATAGATTTAGTCTACAAATAAAATAGTTTAAGTTTGTATATTTATAATATAATAGTTAGTAATTAGAAGAGACAAATATATAATAAAAAACTATTATAACAATAAAAAATTATAAAACAAAGTTATATTTTAATACTTCAAAAATCTTTATTTGTTACAAAAAGTAGTAATAAGCTTTGTTTATAAAAATTAATTTAAAGAAAGAATATACTTTATAAAATAAGAAAGTTAAAAAATATTAGTTTAAGATAAAGTATAAAAATTAGAAAATTAGTAAAAAAAAGAAAAAATATTTTTTATATAATATCCTTCCAAAACTAATTTTGTTAAAATTTATAATCTGTTATATCTAATAAAAAATTAATCTACTATATTTGTTTTATATTTCAAATCTAATAATCTATCATTTTTGATAATTGATATTTAAAAAATTAAATAAGGCAATGTCATTTATTACCTGATTTTTTTTATTAGAAGCTTATCCTTTTAATATATATTTTGATTAGGTCTTTATATATAATTTTAAATTTTTTATCCCTCCTCTCCTCCTAAAAGATCACCTAATTTTTGTCAGTCCTATACCTATAAGATATCAGGTTTGTTAAATATTATAAATTAATTTAATTAGTTTAGATTATATAGTACTTTGTATAACTAAATAAATGTATAATAAGTATAATCTAGCTAATTATATATATTTATCTAACATTTCCTATGTATCGGATTTTGTAATTATAAATTGTTACTAGTTATTTGGATTTATACCATTTTATGATATTTACAATTTACTACATAAATAAATAAAATACGTCATATATAGCTAAAATGTAATTATATAAAAAATTTAACGATATTAAAAATTTTTTAAAATTGCTTGTACTGAGCGAAGGCCTTAATTAGGCTTAAATATTTATTATTTTAATTATAATTAATTACATGCGTCAATTTCTAATTATTATTAAATATACAATTATTATAGTATTTTTTAACAATTGTTATAGTTTTATGACTATGTAATCGCTTGTTTTCATTATTAGTAAAATTGGATCTACATTTTTGAGACTTATTATTCGTATTTTTTAAAAGTTCATTTGCCATATGAAAATTTCCATAAAATTCATGTTCATTTGGTATCTATTTTTTTTTAATTTAGCAAAAATAAATTATTTTTTGATTAAAAATTTATCAAAGTCTAACAAGCTTAAAATATTACCTGCGTAGATGTATCATTATCATCTTCAGATATATTATTTTGTAAGTCTTCATAATCATCAGCTTCAGAATCAGAATCATTAATCGAATCTTGAAATGCTTCAGTAGATGATGAAGATGGAGTAGTAATTATTTTATTAAGGACATTTGCTAATGCTTCTCTTTTATGATCATCCGTAGGTTTTGTATAAGCGTAATATCTACCAGAAGATTTGTGTCCACTAATTGCACGACCGGTATTTTCAGATACTCCAATACTAAATAATTCCATAATACTAGTCCTTCTATCTGAGTGATTACTGATATTTCTCTTTTCTATATTTATTCCACATTCAACGCAGATTAATTTAAAAAATGAACGGATCGTACGATCAGCTAATGCTTTATCCAAATACCAATTTCCTTTAACAATACCTTTATTAATAATTTATTAGTTTATGTATTAAGTATAAAAATCTGTATATATATAATGTAACATAATAAATATTATATTATCATTTGGACTTCGAGAAGGAGTAAGATAAAAATTTGAGCACTTGGAGTTTTTAGGACGTAAAGAGATATATTTTCGTATATCAGAATTTGGTCTTACGGCATTTTGTAGATCAGACAGAAAAGGTATGGTTAAATCAAACTGGTTTCCATCTATTCCGCCTTAGTCATTTTTTTGTTGAATCTTTCTAAAAATAATATTATTTGGTGTATCCACAATTTGCTGTAAACGCAAGTTAGCATGTTCACCGCCTCTAGTAGCACCAAGTATAGAAATCCAGAAAAAAACCCATTTTAATAATCCTAAGGGGGTATTTGGATCTAGTACCTCATGATTTAATATATGACAAATTTCTTCAGTATTTAAACCATCAGTAGACTTCGATTCTCCAAGTCCTTTTTTTTTATATCTTTAAGCAAACCATCAAATTGTGCATACAAATCAGGAAATGCTTTTTTGTCATGCAAATTATATTTCCAACCAGGTTTTACATCTTGAAAGTGATGGTTAATTGCTGACAAAGCATTCTTTAATGAAGTTCTTGAATAATTTCCACCTTTTTGGGGTGTTATACCACATAAAAATTGGGATACTTGAAATTCGATTATTTCCTTGCTAAGACTTTCAAGTGGTTCATTATAATTAACATCAGACTGCCATTAATTCATAACTTTAATCCATTGTTCAGTATTTTTGACTATATTTTCTGGGATATGTCCCTTAGCAAGTGCTGAAAGGTAGTCAGTAGAAGGTAAAAAATTAGATCGTTCACCTATATTTGAGTTTGAGTTAAGAAAAGATCATAAAAAAAATAAATCGCTGCTTATATTTATAATTTTTTTATAACTAATAAATTTTGTGATCTGTAAAAATTTCTACGTATAATTAATTAATTAATATAGCGATAAGTACTACTTGATGCCAGATAAAACAGTTATGAGGCACTTGTACTTCATAACTGCGGTATAATTCACATTTTTACAGGTATTTCGAAGCTGGCATGGTGCAATAGCGCCATGCCAGCTTTGAAATACCTATAAAAATATGAATTGTACTTTCTGATATTTGCGTATATAATCTGCTTGTTCGAATTTTGCACACCTTCGGTGCTTAAAATCAACTAATCAAATCACATTCTGCAAAAACCACAGCTATTCAGCACTTCGTGCCTCATAACTATTAATTATTTATATGGTAAAACTCTGCAATAGTTATATTTGCATTTGTTACATTTTTGCTATAATTATCTTGATTCTTTATTTATCTATATATACTATATATAAATTCTTGTTTACTTTAGTTACAATTTCACAATATATATATATAGTGCTAGATAAAAGTTTTTCTGCATCTATATCTTCTTATAAAGATGTGTTATAGCTTTAAAACTTTTTAGAAACTTAGTAAATAGTTAGCTTAGATGGTATATTTTTTTTTGATAATTTTTTAATTACTAGAAAAAATTTAAATGAGAGCCAAAATTTTGAATAATTTTTTTTATAAAAATTAAAAAATTAATTAGATTTAATTAAATTTAATAAAAAATCAGGCTCATGTTTAAAATTTCTAATGTTTAATATGTTAAGTTCAATAATTTTTATATTAGTGAAAAAATTTAACTTAATTTGATAAAATAGTTATTAAGAAATTAATTTTTAAAGTTTAAATTTTATTGTTATTTCATTCTGTTTAAAAAATTTGATATGAACAAGTTTTTATTAATTTTACTATGTAATTTATAATAAATTACATAGTAAAATTAATAAAAACTGAGGGTGTGATGACTTAGTAAATGGTTAAGTTGTCACATCCCCAAGTGGTATATTGGCAGGTTGGGGTTTGAAACCCACTTATAATAGAAATTCAAATATTCACTTATACAATGGCTACTATCTTTTGACAATTAGTTAGAATAGGAACTCTGTAACTTTGGTAGCACTAATAAGATTGGGAGATCATAGGGCATTCATACAATATATAAGTTATACAAAGACATGCAAGCCAGTATTAGTTGGTGCAAACCTAAGATAAGACCTTGTGTTCATATAAATCCAAGGAACCGGAAAGATAAATGCTTGCTTGGCAAAACCTGAGTAGAGAAGTAGCACAAACTTTTAATGATAGCTACTGAAATAGGCTTCACTAGGTTCTAATTATTTGACCAATATTTATTTGCCTGACAATTACTTTCTCAACAACTATTTGTCCAACAATTACTTGCCCAACATCTTCATTTGCTTAACAATTATTTGTCTGATACATTTAAAATATTAAGAAAGTAATTATAAATAAAAAAAGTGTTGAGCAAGTGATTGTTGGGCAAATGAAGATGTTAGGCAAATGAAGATGTTAGACAAATAATTATTAAGCAAATAGTTGTCAAGAAAGTAATTATTAGGCAAATAAATATTGGGAAATAATTGAAACCCAGCTTCACCTGAGGCTGGCATAACTAAATAAGAACCAGATATTTGGAAAGAAGATATTCTACCAATTAGGCCACTGGAATCGCTAAAGAAAAAGAATCTACAGTTCAGATATCAAGGGACTAGTGTTCCATCTGAGCTATCTGGATAAATAATCTGAAGAGACTGGCTAGAGATACTGAAAGAGAAGGTACCAGGTGTCTTGAAGGGAGATATTGGAGTTTAAATAAACTCTACAAGGGCTAAGTAGATAATGATAGTGGCTTTGGCTCACAAGTACTTGTCTTTAAACTCAGCGTAAGTTACTGAAGTAGACTAGATAATATGGTAATAGTAGATACCGAACTGCTCTAGCAGATAATACACTTAAGAATAAATTAGGTAATCATACCAGTAGTTCTATAAGTGATATATGATGATCTTGAAACTTGGACTTACTTATATATTGCATGTTTTGAATAAGGTTAGATGAATTGGTATAGGAAACTCAGATTAAAGGATTTAATTGAGTAATCTAAATAATAATAGTTATAGGTACGACATCTAATATAGAACCTAATAATAGGCAAACTACTTAAATTAGATGCTTAAAGATGCAGATATGGCTAGAATATACTCTCGTCAGAATGTACTTGTCTGGAGCCTCTTTGAAAAGAGCACTATATGATTCTATAATTTAATAAAATAAAAAGCCAAAGAGGCTAATCTTGATTACAAAAAAATAAAAAAAAATATGTTCGCATTAAATTTTTTAAACAAAATGAAATAATAAAATTTAAACTTTAAAAATTAATTTCTTAATAACTATCTCATCAAATTAAGTTAAATTTTTTGTTACTAGTATAAAAATCATTGAATTTTAATATACTAAACATTAGAAATTTTAAATATGAGCCTGATTTTTTATTAATTTTTAATTGAATCCAATTAATTTTTTAATTTTTTATAAAAAAAATTATTTAAAACTTTGGTTCTCATCTAAAATTTTTTCTAGTGATTGAAAATTACAAAAAAAAATACACCACCTAGACTAACTATTTACTAAGTTTTAAAAAGTTTTAGAACTGTAACACCTCTCTGTAAGCAGATATAGGTGGAAAACCTTTTATCTAACACTATAAAAGTTTGATTTTAGTATATGATTATAACAAGGTTTTACTGTAATTATGTGACTAGTAAGGGTAGTATTATTTATCACCTAATTTCTTTTTATCAAAAGCTTACCTCCTCTCCCCCTCTTATTATATATTTTAATTAGGTCTTTATATATAATTTTAAATTTTTTACCTCCTCTCACCTAAAAAATCACATGATTTTTGTTATGTTTCTAAGCTATTGGTATTTTAAATCTGATAATTTCTCAAAACTAATACAAAAACTGTCTGCTATACTTATCAAATTTAAGAATATATACTATATATCTTTTGCATTTATAAAAAGAATATATAGTATATAGTAAACAAGTAATATTTGGTAAAAAAAACTTGTATAGAAAAAACAGATAATTGCAGTAATATATATTTTGACTGCTGTCTATAGCTTTTTTAAAAATATCTAAGATTTGAAATATTAATTTTAGCTTTAACTATTTAAATATATTTTTATATTTTTTGCTTGTATATATATATATATAATTTTTAAAAGTCTAATATAGATTATAACTAAAACTTTTTTTTTGTTATTAATTTTAGCTTTAACTATTTAAAATATATATATATTTTTTAATCTTCAAAGGTGAGGCCATGTTAAAATATATTTTTATATTTTTGCTTGTATATATATATATATAATTTTTAAAAGTCTAATATAGATTATAACTAAAACTATTTTTTTTGTTATTAATTTAGCTTTAACTATTTAAAATATATATTTATATTTTTGCTAGTATATATATAATTTTTAAAAGTCTAATATAGATTATAACTAAAACTATAATTTTTTGTTGGTTTTTTATTTTTTTATTTTTTTGTATTTGTTTATCTTATTTAGTACTTTTCTAGTTCTTTTTAATAATATATAGCTTTAAAAATTGTGATTTTTCTCATCTTTGAAGATAAAAAAAAAAATTGTGACTATTACGGGGTTTGAATCCAGAATATATAAAATCCAATGTTCAAACCAATTTATGTAGTAATGTCAAAATTTAAAAAAAATAGGTTCACTAATACTAAGCACTAGACCACAATATTTCCATTTAAAAATTACACGATCTTGAAATCCTGTGATTGAATTGTAATAATTTTGGGCTTTTTAGAATCGCCTCATTGAGGCAGTTTGATAGTCGAATCATCCAAAACGAGTCAATGAATTAGAAGTTATGGGCAGTTTTACAAATTGATTCCTTTTTTTTTATATATAACTTGTGAACACGTATCATCATATTATGTTTTTATTATTATTTTGAATAATTTATATTTAGTTTGTATAGGTTATTGGCCTTCGGCAAATGACCATTCAGTGTCCACTGAATAAGGTTGTGTAATCTCGACACCCTGAGCTGTAATTTTTGCACGTTGAAACTAATATTAAACAAAAAATCGGATAATTATTATTATTGGCGTATGAATATCATATAATTTAATTGAGTAATAAGAACATACCTTATTAAGACTTCTTGCGTCTCTATAGAATAAGACCTTCATACACGTTTCAATAGCATCTATGGCTTCTTCTTCTGAAAGAGTATTTTCATGACCCTCAACAATCTTTCGAAGAATGGGTTGAGCTAAATAAGCACCGAAACCAGTAGCAATACTAGAAGATTTATACGTTGTTCCTAGTAGATCAACATATCCGAGAAATCTTTATCACATGTATCAATTAGCAAATCAATATTTTACTGAGAAATACAGGTACAAATATAAAAATAACGCGTACCCTTCTCCATTGTGATATCCACCAACAACATAGGCATTCCAAAGAGGGTTGATTTGAGACCGTCTATGGTACATAACACGACTTAAATATTCATATATGTGTGGAGCACCAAGAACATGGCCATCGTTTATGTAATATTCTTTAACCCTACGAAGATAATTGTCTATTAGAATCTTTAATAATTTACGATAAAATAAACCTAAAATCAAAATTTTCATTACATTTCAGCATCCAAAAGATGTTTCGTATACTGGAAGTCCGAAATATCACCTGATGCACCAATTACCGTGAATTCACCAACAGGATAAAGACGTTCGACGTCCTTATAGCGAGCAAGAGAACCATAGGATGCTAATAAAAACAAAATTAGGTCAATTTGTGTATATTGAAATATGTCACAATACTTGTATCATGAATTTACAAGCGCACCCAAATTATCTGCAGCTAGCATTACACCATCCTGGTATTTCAAAGCAATCACTGAGGTACCTGTTACGATGGGTCGTCTATGAAATGACAAATTATTATAATTTCCGGTAATAAGTTGAATGGCTGAACATAATAAACTCACTGAGTTCTCGTAATTGGATCTGTTGAACTTTCGCTCCTAGGCTTTATATCAACTTGGAAGATATTGCGTCGATCAGCCATTTCATGACGAGGCTTCCCCAAATTTAATGAAAAGTGATCCATGATTGAAATGAATATCGAATCATTGCACTATTGCGTATAACTACAAACGATCGTCATCACGTGAAATAGCAATAGATCAAGTTTTGTGTAACGGATCCAAAATAAGAGAGTAATTCGAAAAGCATTAGATCCTCCTTTCATTTCACCGCGGGATTAGTCAATCGACAATGGTATGCTTCCATCGTGTCAAGTATCGTTTAATTTTCTTTCCATCCGAGGATTATTTGTTTGCTCTTACTTGTATCAACAAATATTATTCAATTTGAAATGTTTGATTAAAGAATTTGACAATAATACAAAGTTCGTCTTTTCACCAACCTGTGTAATAACCTATTTGTTTCCTGAGACTTGACATATGATTGAAACGACATCAGACTACAATTTTAGAAATTCAAAAAACGATTACTTAAGAGGATTCTGATTTTAATTGTGATAATTTATTTTACTACGAGTAATTAAGTATCTAACGACAAATGATATTACGATCAGGGTATTGACATCAAGAAACACCACGTGAAGAACGGAAATCGGACTGAACCAAAGAGTGAAAATGTCTACCTTCGATTGTTGGTGAAGGTGTGAAATGCTTTATTTTACAGTAAATGTTATATAGTTTTTAGGTTAACTTGTTTTTCGAAACCCATTTTATCTAGCTTTACAGATTCTTGGCACGAAGAACTGATTCCAAATTCAACAAGGTCATATTAAAGCGACTTTACATGTCACGCGTTAACAAACCCCCACTCTCTATCTCCCGTCTTTTATGTAATTTGAAGGATAAACCTGATAAGATCGCAGTGGTTGTTGGCACTATTACAGATGATAATCGGGTGTTAGAAATCCCCAAAATTACTGTTGCAGCACTTCGTGTCACAAAGTCAGCCAAGGCTAGGATTTTAAAGGCTGGTGGTGAAGTTCTTACCTTAGACCAATTGGCTATGCGTGCTCCTACCGGTTCAAACACAGTTTTGCTTAGAGGCCCTAGGAATTCTCGAGAAGCCGTTAAGCACTTTGGCATGGGGCCTCATAAAAATGCCAAGTATGTCACCTTGTCATATTGTTTTTTTAGTTATAAGTTTCTAATGCTTATTGTTTTTATTTCACTTTTAACTACAAGACCTTATGTTCGATCTAAGGGTAGAAAATTCGAAAAAGCTCGCGGTCGTCGAGCCTCTCGTGGTTATAAGGTGTAAAAAAAATGTTCATAAATCAGATTCATTAAGATGTATTGATTTAATGATTTGACCATAACAATGATCAGTAATTTTGTGCTTAATGCTTGTGATATCACTTTAAATTCAAAATTAAATGCTAAAGATGTCCCGTATTAAAATTTTATGAAATAAAAGTTTGTAGATACACAAATGGTTGTCGCTCAATTCCCCGAAAGCATTCCTCGGCAGGACATTTACCCGACATCACATAGGGTTAGAATTATCATTTGATTAGTTGCAGGTTTATATTTTAGCAAATTGTCACCCCGGGTGATGTCGAGTCGGGAAATAACTTTAGCGGGGAATCGTAACCGATACAAACATATTTATAAAGAAAAGGATATTGCTAACTTGCCCCCCTGGTTAACATAACCACCCTCTTATTATAATTTAAAAAACGGCTTAAATAACCATGTTTGATGCACTAACTAAAAATGTCCAACACTATAAAAATACCTTATTCTGGCCTTAGCTCTAACCCTAATCCTGTAATCCTAATCTTAATTCTAACTATATATATACGTATATATATATTAAATTATATATCGATATAGTTAAAATTTATAATTTTAACCCCGGCTTAAAATTAAATTCATTGCGATATGTCACGTGTGCCTTCATATCGATATTTCCGTGTAAATTATTATTTACCATCGCCATGTCGCATTTGTCAAAATAACGCTGGAGCGGTATTTATGTGTTGCAATTTGCAATTTGGCCAAAATTTTTTTAAATAGAATTATGGTTCCAATTCGGCTAAATTAATTATTAGCTCTTCGGAAAGTTATTTGATATATATGAAATTTATGATATGCTCTGACACAAAGACATGAGTAATATTAAAACTTGTCCACTAGTAGAATTTATTCGGACCGTAATCCTGAATGCTTTAGAATTAGCGCTTAACCATTTTTATTTCCTAATATATCTACGTAATATTGCTTTTGAAAACACCAAAATACTTACAGAAAGTAATCACGATTCATAGTTTCAACCTCATGTACTATGCACATAATAGAAACTATGATCGCTCTAACCGGTAATTACACATTTTTGTAAACTCAAACAAGACAAAATGCATTCTTGATAAGATATGTAACAAGTTTGATACAATCGATTGCAATACGTAAAATACGAAAAAATGAACACTTGGTACGTTTATGCTTTGATCTTTTTAGTCAATTCTTGCTCTGTTTGATCATCCCTTTTTGGACGTCCGCGCTTCTTAGCGGGAACAGCAGTATCGATGCTAGGTATTTTGCTTTCAGATTCAGGATGGCTGACACCGACTTCTTTGTCGGTCGTGATCTTTCGAGGACGACCGCGTGACTTCGGTGTGCCATTGGAACTTTTATCTGAAATGGTACGTTTCAGTGCAGTCTTTGATTTACCAACTTGTGATAAGAGTGGATTTTTTCTTGGGCGACCTCGTCCACGTTTTTCACTTAAACCAGAAGTAGTGATTTTATCGTCATCGTCTGTTCTTGTCGGTCCATCAAAGACATCTTTATTGGTAGATTTCGATCTACCAGGTCTTCGCTTTTCGGTAGAAATTGGACTACCACGCTCTTTTTTTGGGCGCCCGCGAGTTCGCTTTTGTAAACCATTTGCGACGCTATTAGATTCGCTTTGTTTGGGGCGACCACGGCCGCGTTTTACAATTGAATTTGTCGTATCGTTAGAAGTGACATTAATTTCTTCCCTTTTTGGACGACCACGACGTTTCTCTGATGAATTAGTATCGTTACTAACGGTAGTAGTAACTATTGTGTCTTTTTTTGGTCTTCCTCGAACTTTCGACGATTCCTCCGTTGTGCCATTGCTAGCTTCCTTTTTAGGACGTCCACGGGCCCGTTTTTCGGGTAATTTGACATCCTTATCGTTATCAGGTCCTTCAGTTCCCTCATGGCCCTGTTGTGACATCTCTAATGTTGCGGCCTCCGCATTATTATTAGCAGCTAATTCTTGTGACTTATTACCTCCTTTCTCCTCTGAATTAGTTTCAATATTAGTGTCTGCAACTACATTTTTATCAACTATATTCACTTTTTTACGACCACGTGTTTTCTTTTCGACAGAAACTTCTGATTTGGCCGAAACATCAATATTTTCATTAGCTGCCGTATCTTTGTTAGCATGACCTTTCGCGTTAGTGTTCATTTCATTCGAAGGATTCAGAGGATCGAATATTCTGATAGGATCTTGACGTGAAACATCCGATTGCAATTCATTGGCTAATTTCATGAAGATTAAATAAACAACATATGTAGAATTTTAGGATTTTCACCAAAAATTGATCATCAAAGTCGTTTTTTTTTTTTTTTATCTTTTTACTTTTATTATTATTATTTTTTTTTTACTGATAGTATTCGTACGTCGCAAATTACAGAAGCGTGTACGCGATATTGCTTACATTTATATATATTTGAGCTCTCATCTATATTATTTGGTGTCTTGGTGTCGGCACCAATTTTGTACTGGGGGTCGGTGAGAACGGGTGTAGGGGGCATAGCTGGTTCCGCTAGATTTAACCTTTGATTTTCAAGTTTAGACGTTGGCAGTTCGTTTGCCATAGATTTTATAAACACTTTTAACGCGCAAAAAATAAGTGTTTACCTTAAAAGTGGATAACAAAGCTGTAGACGTTAACAAGCGTAAGTTAAATCTAGAAGCGAGTAATTAATGTTTATATAGCTTTATATCAAGATTGCGGGCTAGCATTTTGCCTGTAAACAAAAAAAAAAAAAAAAGACCCCTATCAATCATGTGATTTTGCGGGAATTTGATGTTGTGCAACTAGTTTATCAAAAGTTCTATAGCATTTAAAGCAAGTATATATACTTTAGTATATATATCGGGTATACACTTTTATTTTGTTTCAAAAGTTTTTTTTGTGTTTCTATAATTTAAGTTTGTAAATTTATAAAAAAAACTCTAATCTGGTTTAATCTATTAATCGTAGGAGTTTTACTTTATCTTTAAATAAGATACGTGTTAACTTTTAGTTTGATTTAAATTTTATATATATATTAATTTACTGGTTTATAAAAAATTTTATGTAGTGTACTGTATAGATTATAACTAATTTTCACCCGTGGTGATATCACCCGGTATTATAAAATTTTATTAAAATTTAAATAATGTTAGGATTAGGGGCCTTAGATTAGAGAAGAACCTGTTTTGTATATAATATTTGATGGTAAAAACTTAGAAATTAAAGTATAGTTTTTATAATAAAATTTCGAGTTAGAGTTCTTTTTAGTTTTTTGTTTAGCGAACTGATCTGCTCTAAATATAACTAGGCGATATCACCTCGGGGCAAGTTAGCAATAATTACTGTAAATATATATATAGTATATAATATATAATAAAGCTGATATTAATTAGCTTTAATAATATAAATATATTTAGAATATTGCTATTATCATCTATTTTTGCTAATACCACTTTATATAATTTGATTATGCAAGAGATAATATTAGCAAAAATAAAAAGTAGTAATAATAACTTTTTATTTATATTTAATTTATAGATAATTATATTTGGTGCAGAGGTGTACATGGTTTTTTTTTTTTTTTTTTTAAACTTTGGCAACCTTGCCGGTGATCCTTTATTAAGATTATTATATAAGTAGATTACATAATGTTGAGCTTAATATCTAGGCCTGACATCCTCCGGCTACCTCATGGGTGCCTAGAAGCAGTCTGCCGCACTGGTCCGAAAATTCTTTCGAGACCAGAAGGCTAATATCAGGTTAGTCATGCAAGCCATACCAAAAGGGCTTGCAACTATTTTGAATTAAATCTCTAAAACTATTATACCAACGA